GCACAGCATCCCGATTTTCTTTTGAGTAAGCTTTCGTCTACAGCTACAAACCGAGTTCCCTGGTAAAGTAAATGTCTTGGAAATGTAGACGGCTCCAAATCATCTATTCTCGTATTCTTGTGTATAGAGTGGCGTTACGGTCATTTTTGATGCAATGCAAATTTGTACTTGTTGTTCTAAATGTTTCTTGTCGACTTGCCTGTGTCCTAAATTCGGCATTTAGCGCTAATATGGGAGGACCAACCGCGGGAACAGTCGACTGCAGCGTAGGTGTGATTGTGCCAGAGTCGCCCAACCCAGAATTGGACGAGCTTCGTGAGCTACGCTCATCTAAATTGGAGAAAAAGGATCTCCCACAGGTATCATTCATTTTACCGTGACTGCATTGTCTGTAAGTTGTTTTTCAAGGAATTTTGCTTGTGGAAGAGAACAGCCCGCTCGTCAGAAACTCTGGGATGTATAATTGTGGATACATGTGCAGTCATACATGAGCCTGATATTATTGAGATCAGCATAAAAAGTGAGTTTATTGGAAATTGCATCATGCTTCTCGATCTGGTTCTCTTAATGCAACTTCTCAACTTTTCTACCAATTGGACAAAAATAGCTCCAAACCGGAATTATTGATGTTGATTTCATCAAAATTCGAAGTCGATTTTCACATCTTTAGTGAGTTGGGAAGTTGCACTAACCGAACTTTTGAGTGTACAATTTGTTATGTGTTAATAAGCGGTGTCACGGTTTTCATCTATCGTTCCGTTTTAGATAAAATTCTTGTGGTGGTCCCCTTTCCTGTGTTGTGTGAACTGGACAAACTCCATAAAAGTGGAAAGTACTCTAGTCATAAGAAGGTTGGTTGCTTACGACTAATGGGTCCGCGTTCATAGTCAGTCGTGCTCCGATGTTGACTCAAATTCTCGTTCTCACCAGTTTCCAGGGGTATTGGCATGCGAGTGACTATGAACGCAGCTCCATTTTGCACATGTATTTAACTGCTTCAATTTAGGCTCAACAAGCGATGCATTGTCTGAAAAAGTCGAGCATGAGTCAGCATTTGATATTCGAAGATTCTTCCGAGGTATTTACATCTTTTTATGCTTACACGCTCTTAGCTTTATGCTTTTTTTCAGTCACTGAATGAAGTCAATGGTTTCAAAGTTGCCAAAAATAACAATGATGACCTTATTTTGAGATGTGCCTTCAAAATACAAGTAAATCGTGAGTGTTTTGTTCTGAATTTATGCAGCTTTGAAAGCTAAAATTCCAGTGCCTGCCGACTGTGTTGATAGCAGAATCTTCTTCATCACTGATGATTGCAACCTTTCTCTCAAAGCACATGCTCATCATGTCAAGTACCTCACGGCGAAGGTGAGTTACAGTTAATTTTTACCACTCTTTTTTCCTTATATTCTCTTCTATTCTCTTTTTCAGCAGTATCTGGCGGAACTCCAGAAGTCTGGTTTGAGCATCAGTTTGGAGCCTGAGGAGGAACCTATGGAAATTGACCCACCACAAGATCCTGTCATACCGCCGCAAGATATGTGAGTTTTATCCCTAGGTTCTGTCGGTATTG